GGGCCCCCACATCCAGGGACCGCCCAGGCCAATGGCAGAGCTTGGTCGGGCGAGCTGCAAGGTATGATGTCACGTGATGAATTAGTCACTCGCCGCGGGACAAGCAGCCCCTCTCGTCATAACGTGGCATGTATTCCCGCGCCAAAAGGTGCTTGGAGGGGTACTTTCCCAGGGGAAGCTGATCAGCGTCGTCGCATTCTTACTCAGCTCACCTCATCTCCAGCTGAAGCTCTCCAGAATCAGCATGCGCGATACCTAGCTAGGGGCTCTAGAAACCCACTTCACCCAGCTCGCCAACCTGCAGGGCCATTTTCTCTCAGCCTTATGTTTTGGGGGCTACTTTTGCGGCAAGAAGTAACCCTGATGGTGCAGTGCAGTCCATGTGACTGTCATTAACGCGTTCAGCATCTTATTTAAAGGATGGGAACAAAAATCAGACACATTTCCGTAGATGTCTTCGTCCAATGGTTAGCATTTCGATGCCTTCCCTTGCTTGATCCTATTACTCAGCCTTATTTGGATCAATGCTGTATTAGGTTCAACGTACTTTACTGGACAGGACATGTGTGAATTCTCCGCCACTGTCATGAAGCGATCCATGTTTAGTCGCTGCTGAAGACCTCCGTGGCTGGAAACTGGAAATAATAATAGCTCAGCTACCCCCAAGCAGGTATCGCGGAACCGATACTCTGGGCATGACAAAGCTAAGACAACGGCCGCTGGATACCTTCATTTCAGATCAATCGCGCAACAGTTTACTTGGCTATTTCCGTCAACTTTTGCTGGCGACTTTGATGCCGCTGTGCTATCGATGGCCTGGTTTTGTTCAAGCTGTGCCCTCAGGCGTCCTCTGGACGAAGATTTCCTTCTGCAGGCGACTACAACACGCAACAGTCGACACTCCGAACAGCCGAGAAACGGGTGCCAGCATTCGTCATTGTCGGATTTGAGTGCCGCAAACGTCTGCTTGTCAGGACGCAACGTCTGATTGGGATGTTCATCGCGAGACGAGTCATATTTCCGGCGAGTTTGCTTCTACTCGTGGCAAGAGTATGTTGCCTGGAGATTGACAGGTTCATCCCGTTGAGATGCTGGAGACACAAGAATAGCTGACTGGCACACACACAGGACTACTAGACAGCAGGGCTGCGTTCCAGAACCTGCCCTGTACCAGATAAGGCACTTGGTTACAGATTTGACGCCGTCGGCATGAAAGCACGATCACTCAGGCGCCCAGTGCCAAGTGAGATGGTGTCTTGATCTCGGACTGTCCGCCGTCAACAGCGCATCTGTAGTTGATGGTTGTGCTGCTGAGCCTCGTGATGACTGTGGGAAAAAGCGTTAACTGATGGTTCCATGTGGACCGATGTTCTGCTATTCTATGCTTGCAGCACAGTTATCGTTTGCGGCTTCACTCGGCTCTGTCTACGGCAGGAAAAGTCGTTGACGATCAGCATCTTGGCTTTGGATTCAATACGAACCAAAGGCCCTAAAATGAGTTGGGGCAGCCAATTTGGGGTTGTCGAAATGTGTCCCGTTGCTGGAAAGAGCCAAGAGGCAAGTACCAGATTCCACGATGTGACACTATCGGGAGGTACATGTTGTCTCTGAAGATGGAGATACCAGCATCCCCGGGGACTTTACAATGGTAATGTATCTTCACTTAACACGAGGCCGCTAGATCTGCCAGGGGCAACGAGAGTTTGAGTAGGTGTACAGGTGTACATATTTTTAATATGCTATCTGTACTTATAGGTCTGAGAAGGCAGCGCAGGGGGGACCACCAAGAGTGCTGGACAGAACGAGGAACAGAAGGCCAAACGAGAGCTGATATTCTCACAGGGCGGTGGCCTCTTCTAGCCAAGTCTCATGTCGGGTGGTATGGGAGCTTCCCACCCCCATCATCCCGTCGCACGGCTTGCACGGGCAAGCAAGGCCGATGGCACGGAGAAATTCCCATCGACTGGTTCTCGGTTCGCAAGGGAAGGCCCTGGGCCTGATGTGCCTGAATGCAGCTGGGCTGAGGCGGTGGCCATCGATTCTCACAGTGGCCACGTTCCCCTGTTCCGATCATGGCCCGCGGAGCAACCCAAGCCAGAGGGAACGGGTACGCGGCAGCTGCTGCGGCGGAGAGGAGCGTGTAGCAGGTACACAGCTGTCAGAGGAACGCGACGCCCAGAGCCCACTTCAGACCCCTGTGTTGAATGAGGTACTCGAGACTTTTCTTGAGTACTTGCTACGGATGCCGGTACTGTCACCACCTCATGTCATTGTCAGTCCTCAGCATTGAACATGGTCTTCGGATGGACGCCGTAGGACGGATGAAGAGTCCTGGCCACAAGGCAGTTGATGTGAGTGATACATGGTGGCCTCGCCTCCTCAAGGCACCTAGCAGAGGAACATGTTCATGTCAGCGCGTTGACTTGAGTTATTGAGTTGAGCTTGTAGCTGCTTGCGCCATGGTGCTCCCTCTCTGTCTTGGCTGAGTCTAATTCTGACCGTCAGTATCCGTACTCTGGACCATCAGCAACATCAGCAGCAGTTCAGCTACTTGAAAGGGTGCAGGACATTGTACTCCTTGCAGAAGCATGTCTCTCGTCCGGTGTATCTGAGTCCTGCGGCAGGGCACTTTTTGAGTTGCGTAGCCCCGGGTTCAGGCCAGTTCAGCAATTGTTGCCCCACCCCCTTTAATCGACGTCGCGGGACTTCCTCCACTAGCGTTCCCTTTTTCGGGGCAGACGCACTGCGTACGCTGCTGCATTCGTACCCACTGCACCCTGTGGGAGTCTGCGAGGTCCCTAGAAGTCCACGCCACAGTTTGCTAAAGTGCTGCCGCGTGCTGAGGTGCTCCAGCTGGTCCGAGCCAGTCAGTCCATCGCTCTGAACATTTTCCTGGACGTGTCTGTGTATTCGTATCCCTTCCTGCATCTCCCTCCCTCTCTTTTTTTATTCAACCTCGTTCACCTCGAGGAAGTGCGCTTTTGTTCGATTCTTCTCCAGCTCTTATTCACCTACAAGGGATCCCATCGTCGACCTGGTAAAATCGGTCAAGATGGCGACCGGCTCCGCACGATATGTGCGATACATTCTTTTCGCCGCCTTCGTAAGTGACGCCTCGCCGCCTCCTGCCAGCGCATCCTGTGGTCGCGCCCTCTCTTGGCCTCCGGTCATGTTCCCAGACAACACCAAAATCACTTGTCCATCCATCAAAATCCATCCGTCAGGGTTCTAATTGTCTGTCTCCTAGGGTCTCGCCGTCTTCTACTTCATCTCCCACTCCAGCTACGAGGGTGTGAGGCTCGAGAATGGCAGCTTCAAGTCCCCGGGACAGGGCGCTGCACCTGGTCAGCAAGGACAACAAGGTCAGCAAAGCCAGCCGGGCCAGGCGAAGGAACCTGAACACGCCGCGAGCAAGCCCCCAGCCAACGTGCTCAAGGCTGGCGAGAAGTACGACCCCAAGCAGTGGCCCATGGCCATGACCCCGAACGAGCCCGGCTGGGACGACCTCAACAGCGGCATTGCCCCTGGTCCCCGCATGAACGCGACCTTCGTCACCCTCGCCCGTAACTCTGATATCTGGGACATTGCCCGTTCCATTCGCCAGGTTGAGGACCGCTTCAACCGCCGCTACAACTACGACTGGGTCTTCCTGAACGACAAGCCTTTCGATGCCACCTTCAAGAAGGTCACTTCCTCCCTTGTGTCCGGCAAGACCATCTACGGCGAGATTCCCAAGGAGCACTGGTCTTTCCCCGAGCACATTGACCAGGAGAAGGCACGCAAGGTTCGCGAGGACATGGCCCAGCGCAAGATCATCTACGGTGACTCGGTCAGCTACCGTCACATGTGCCGTTTTGAGTCTGGATTCTTCTTCCGCCAGCCCGCCATGATGAACTACGACTACTACTGGCGTGTTGAGCCCTCCATTGAGCTTTTCTGCGACATCCACTACGACCCGTTCCGCTTCATGAAGGAGAACAACAAGAAGTACAGCTTCGTCCTGAGTCTGTACGAGTACGTCGAGACCATCCCCACCCTTTGGGACAGCACCAAGAAGTTCATGAAGAACCACCCCGAGCACATTGCCGAGGGCAACTCCATGAGCTTTCTGAGTGACGACGGTGGTGACTCCTACAACCACTGCCATTTCGTAAGTTTGCTCCGCTCTACCATTTGCTGACCACCTAACTAACGGCCAATCAGTGGTCCAACTTCGAGGTTGGTGACCTTAACTGGCTTCGTTCCAAGGCCTACATCGACTACTTCGAGTCCCTCGACCAGGACGGTGGTTTCTTCTACGAGCGATGGGGTGATGCGCCTGTGCACTCTATTGCCGCCGGTCTTATGCTGCCCAAGGAGCAAATCCACTTCTTCAACGACATTGCCTACTACCACGTCCCCTTCACCCACTGCCCGACCGGCGAGAAGGTCCGCCTCGACAGACGCTGCCACTGCAACCCCAAGGACAACTTTGACTGGAAGGGTTACTCTTGTAAGTTGGCTGTTTTCCCAATCTGTCCAAGCACACTTAGCTAACCACGTCCAGGCACGAGCCGTTTCTTCGAGACCAACGGCATGGAGAAGCCCGAGGGATACGAGAACCAGCAAGACTAAGATCGTAAAAGCGGGTATGGGAAAATGTAGCTTGTATTAACAATTTCACTGGGGTGGCTTTTGGGTTTGCCACGATTCAATTTCACCTGCATCGACGAGAGACAATGGGCAGGCTTTGGGGCACTAAACGTGGAGCGGCGTCAAAGGGTTTCGTCTGGCTTGGACACTATGTGTGCTCTGTAGATATTTGCAAATGACAAGCGACGTCTGGAGAATATCCGAAAGATTTTCAAATTTGACTTTGTGGTATTTTTGTACATCATATGGTACATTTTGGTGTCGATTCACACACCGTTATCGTCATTCCATGACTTTGGTCATGTTCTTGCAACTCGTGACTCCCTGCCATCAACCTCCGTCTATCCGTCTCCGCCTCACGTATCCGTCTAGCCGACAGTAGCCTTCTTGGGCTTCATGGTTCCGTACTTGGAACGAGAGGTGGTTCGGCTACCAACACCACCGAGATCGAGAGCGCCACGGACAAGGTGGTATCGCACACCGGGACAATCCTGACTGCGGCCACCGCGGACGAGGACGACACTGTGCTGCTGGATGTTGTGACCCTCGCCGGGGATATATGCGGTAATGTGACGACCGTTGGAGAGGCGGACACGAGCGGTCTTTCGCTGGCCGGAGTTGGGCTTCTTCGGGCGGACAATACCGACTCTGAGGCATACGCCCTTCATGGCGGGAGCGTTCATCTCGGACAGGGCGGGGGAGACAGTGTGACGAGCGCGCTTGCCCTTCTTGTGGCAGCCCTGGTGATAGTTTGTTAGCAAATTTCCGTCATCTAGAAACATGCTGGTGTTCGCGAGAGGGAGGACGAACACGCAAGACCTGGTTGACGGTGGCATTCTGGATGGGTGTCGAGGAGAAGGAGCGGATCATCGGTGTCGTCTTCGGCATCGATGTGAGGAATGAGGCGGCGCGGGGGAAGGTCGCTGGCCTTATCGCCGGGGCGAAGAGAGACCTGAGAAGTGTGCTGGCCATGGCGGACAACTGCGTATCGAACTGGCGGCACCCAATTGCTGTCTCCTCAACCGAAGCTCGTCGCGATGCGCCTATGTCGCCCTGGCTCAACCGTCGCTGGGAATTTTCCTGCTTAGGTAATACTCTCCGGAGACTCTAGTCCAGGTTGAGAACCTCAGGCACAAAGTCCACCGGCGCTCCGTCCCCCGGACCCACCCCTTCGGCCATCTTGACCCGCCCCTTGCACCGAACGCGGACCGGATTCCACCTCGTCTGGATCACATGCCTCCGCCCATGTCCAATCCCAAACGCGCTTTGGGGAAGATCCTGACGTAAGCCGCCGCCAAAATGTGGGTGAACCCCGGCTTTTCAGACGTTTACTGCGCCGTCGGCTCTCCCCAGGGGCCCTTGGCCCCCCAGCCTGGGGGGGCAAGCTCCCCGCTGCGGGATGGATATCCTCGGCTGAAGCGGGCGCTGTGTCTGTTCGCCAACCGCCAGGTGCCGTGGCTGCGAATGGCTTTGAGGTTCACGGCCTAGTCGGTACACATCTTTGACTCTATTTTCCACTCGCCCCCCCTTCCCCTTTGGCTTATTTGGTTTCCCAAATTTGCTTACTCTCTATCGCCTCATCTCAGGTTCACCGTTCGGCGCCAATTGACCAATACAAGTCCGGGCGCTTTCCCTCTACGCATCACCACCGCACGGTCACCGACGGAGCATAAGTACCAGAGCACCTCCGGCGATCTTACGATCACCCGCCCTGTCAAGAGTTTTCGATCCTCCTTTCTTTCTTCTGGACTTGCCGTTGCTGGGGCAATTTGTAGTTCGCGTTTTCTCTACAGTCTCTCTGTAATCATGTCGTCGATCGCAAGGGCTCTCCGCCCTGCCATGAGGGGAAGCCGTGGTGTTGCCGCGCTGGCGAGGGCGAGGAATTGCACTCCGGGCCGGACATTCTCGCCACTCCAGCAGTAAGTGGCCGATGTAGACAACCATGAAAGAAGAATGTCTTGCGGAGCAACGGACTGACATGAGCGCTCGTATAGAACCATCAGACCCCTTTCCACCACGCAGCGCCGCCGTAATGCCGACCACCTCGACATCACCGACATCCCGCCGACCCCCATTACCCACCTTTCCGAGGTCGAGGCCGCCATGGCCGAGACCGTCAGCAAGTTCGCCAACGACGTGATCGCGCCCAAGGTCCGCGAGATGGACGAGGCCGAGAACATGGACCCGACCATTGTTGAGCAGCTCTTCGAGCAGGGCCTGATGGGCGTCGAGATCCCCGAGGAGTTTGGCGGCGCGGGCATGAACTTCACCAGCGCCATCATCGGCATCGAGGAGCTCGCGCGCGTCGACCCCAGCGTCAGCGTCATGGTCGACGTCCACAACACCCTCGTCAACACCGCCATCATCAAGTGGGGTAGCAGCCAGCTGCAGAAGCGCTTCCTGCCCAAGCTCGCCACCAACACCGTCGGCAGCTTCTGCCTCAGCGAGCCCGTCAGCGGCTCTGACGCGTTCGCGCTCGCGACCAAGGCCACCGAGACGGAGAGCGGGTACAAGATCAACGGCTCCAAGATGTGGATCACCAACTCCATGGAGGCCGACTTCTTCATCGTCTTTGCGAACCTGGACCCTGCCAAGGGGTACAAGGGTATCACCGCTTTCATTGTCGAGAAGGACACCAAGGGCTTCTCGATTGCGAAGAAGGAGAAGAAGCTCGGTATCAGGGCCAGCAGCACCTGCGTCATCAACTTTGATGATGTCGAGATCCCCAAGGAGAACCTCCTCGGTGAGAAGGGCCATGGATACAAGTACGCCATCGGACTCCTGAACGAGGGCCGTATCGGTATCGCCGCTCAGATGACAGGTCTGGCTCTCGGCTCTTGGGAGAACGCCGTCAAGTAAGTTTCCCGCCAACTTCTGCCCGCCAGTGACTCCATACTTACACCGCCAGGTACGTCTGGAACGACCGCAAGCAGTTCGGCCAGCTCGTCGGCGAGTTCCAGGGCATGCAGCACCAGATCGCGCAGTCGTACACCGAGATCGCCGCCGCGCGCGCCCTGGTGTACAACGCTGCCCGCAAGAAGGAGGCCGGCGAGAACTTCGTCATGGACGCCGCCATGGCCAAGCTGTACGCGTCCCAGGTCGCGCAGCGCGTGTCTGGTCTGGCGATCGAGTGGATGGGTGGCATGGGCTTCGTCCGCGACGGGCCCGCCGAGAAGTTCTGGCGTGACAGCAAGATCGGCGCCATCTACGAGGGCACGAGCAACATCCAGCTCAACACTATTGCCAAGCTGCTGCAGAAGGATTACACTTCTTAAAGGAATTTCAATGGTGCCATGGCGAAGTTTGGGCTTGTAGGTTATTAGACGGTAGTTAAAAGCGACACGATTCGGTGTTGGGTGTCGATTGCTTTTTAAATCATATCCTGTTAGCTCATTGATTCTCTGGACAACCTGTGTGTATGATATCGTGTCGATGTTATTGGTGGGTTGTATGTGCAGGTTGGGTTGCCCAAGTCGCAATCGTGGTTTGCCTCATGAAATGACATGGTGCGTGAAATGGGAGGCAGCAATAACTATGGTGAACGTTTGACAACGCTATTTGATGTTGCCACGTTCACTGGAGCAAAGATCAAGACAGCAGGTCTGGGAGAGAAATGCACTTGGACGGCTTCGATAACACGCTAGATGAATAAGTGGAATCATGGGAGAAAATAAAGAAGAAGAAGGGACAAGATGACAGCTGGACTCGCGGGTCCAATCCTGGATCCCCAGGTGGTTTACACTGGTTTCAATAAGGTATTTGAACTCTCCCGAGTTTAAATAGTATGGATCGTGTAAAGTAATATTTTATGGTCAGAGGGGTGTGATGTGATTAATTTGGCGGATGCCAGATCAAACTTCAGAGGCGACAGAAGCACGTCAAAAACCTTGATTATTTGGTCGTCAGTATGTTCAGAATGTTTTGATCAATGAAGAACGAGACATATATTGGTAGAATGTCAAATAGCGATCAAAAAGACACATTTTTATTCGCATTCAGGACACGGCGAGACGCGTGCGTTCTTAGCCCAGGTTCGAAAATACCAGACGAAAGCCATGCCACAACTCAGACTCAGACGAGGCTCTCCAATTGATTGTTGATCGAAAATTTCCAGTGATGATTGGGAGGCAAGATCGATCAATGCTGCAAAAACACGTTATCACCAACAAGCTTCAGCACGCTAAATCTCAGATCAAATACTGATCTCAAGCCACCCTTTCAAAAGTAGGACGACCTCAATAGAAGCCCATGAAAGCCGACGCTTTTTCATCCCGACTGTCCGGGTGGCTTAGACGTTGACCGCTGGACGGGACGCACTACCGGCATAAGCTCGACGACGTACATGCGTCCCGTTGCGGAAAGCCCGCTTGGCAGGCAACGTACATCAGATCAGATCGAAAAAAGTGCACAGACACAGACCCCATCGCCGAATTTCTAGGGAAACGTTGCGAAGCAGGACTTTTATGCGATGGCAGATGAGCCGGCCGTGATGTGATCGGCTGCGTCGTATGTTGAGGCTATAAAAAGGATACAATGTGATCGATCCCTGGTTCAGCTATGCGTGCACGTTGCGAGAGCGAGAGGATGATGAACGGCTTGCGCCGCAATTATGAGGCGCGATGACGGAATCACTTTGCTTTCTCCGAAGGCAAGGTAGCATTCCCACGTTGGCGTCGAGTTCCGCGGGTTGCAGATAAGGGAAGACAGAAGCAAGCCCGGGTTGGGTTGGGTTTGGGCGGGCCGGCGGTGGAGGGGAGGACCATGAACGGCGACTGGTGGGGTCGAAACGGTTCCGCGACGGCGCTGGGCTCTTTTTGGGGAGCGGTCGTTGACTGGACTGGCCCTTTTGCTGAGGCGCGGTTACGCTGCGATTTGTTCTTGCTGCTGAGCTTGAGAGCATGAACAGAGCCATGTTCAAACACTCGGGCCAGGCATTGAACCGCAGGTTGTCATTGTTTGGGCTGAAGGGGACGGCGATCTTTGGCTGTGGTGAGGGCTAGGTTTGTTTCAAGTAAACGTTACACAGCTGGGCATGAACTGAACAATAAGTGCGGTCAATAGATGCTCTCGTGTTGATGTCCGGCACAGCTGAAGATGGCTTAGTCGATGGCATATGTCGTTTAGCGTCCACTCTGGGCTCCCGAAGAGAGCAGGTAGGTAGCTTCGCTGGTAAAAAGCTCGTATTCTAAACGCGTGGTTTGTGTTCGTTTGTGACGGAGCGGGAGTCCATAGGGCGGGATCTGGGGAGGAGTCGCCGTCGGTGTGGCGCGGAAAGGCCGGCCGGCAGCTGCTGGGGCGGGGGGCACTTTTTAGTGAGACCTTTTCGTCGGCAGTGCAGGTGTCAGCCGGGGATGACGGACGGCGAACGACAATCACGAGGGGAAGAGTGGAAGCTGTGGCGCTGTGGCGGCCTTTTAGAACGGTTGGGGAGGGAGTCGTGGTGTTGAGTGACCATCTGGCAGATGCAACGGCACGGACGATGCTGAGCAAGATAAGAGACATTGAACAGAGAGGGTAAACTGCTTTGACATGTGCGGTTTCGTGGGATGGGTCGGGTTCTTGAAATGAAGGCCGGCCGGTTCACAGGCGGCCGTTGCAGAGTGACGGCGCATGGTGACGGCGAGTACGACGGAGGGATTGCGATTGGTAGAGGCGCTACTGCGGTAGGGAAGCAGCTAGACGGGAGGAACGGGAAACTTAGGGCTGCAGCAGGAGCAGCATCATCAGATCATAGAGAGAGTTGTAGGTGGGTGAATCGAGTGATGGTGCACACAGCAGAAAGCAGCTCCAACGAGGATTGGCCATGCTTAAACTGGGTCTCTGAAAACTCCCCGAACATAACCTAGGTAGAGGCAGAAGCTGGCTGGCTGGCAGCTGGGCAGTGGGCACTGGAGCTGGGCTGCAGGCTTCGGTTGTTGTGGTGAATCTGGTTTGTTTGTGGTGGTGAGTGCGAATGTGATGAGGAGGGTGAG